CCTCGTTTGGCCTATCGCATCTAAAAACTTGGTGTGAATGAGGCAAAACCTCCGAAGAGTAGATACCTGGGTGGAGCCAGGGTTCTGTTAAGCAAATAACATCAAATTCCGCATTGAGATTTCCTTATCGCTCTTAACATGAATTGTTGAATTGTTAATTAACATGAATCCAGACAAACTTATAACCTTTCTCTCTAGCCAGCCCACGGGCCCGACCAAATAGAATCTTGTTCTGCGGCGTGAGATGCTCATTAACAAAACACTTCTCCACAACACCCTCAATCTTGAGACCCGGACGTACACCAGCAGGAACTGATCGTTTCTTCAACGCAGCAGCGGCCAGGAAGTTATCCCGTCTGAGACGACTGCAGAATAATGGTCTTGGATTCTGAAACCCTGCACCATGCGGAACACGATGAACCGCGTCCACATCCGTCGAGGATACAGGAACCTGAAGAAAATTACCAATGGACCCCAGCACTTCTACCAGGCTTTCATTGTCCCTCTCAGGCACCCCCTGGATCTCCAGATTATTTCTGCGAGAATATTGTTCCATATCAGAAACACGATCGGACAAATCGGTTACTTGTTTTTTCAGGGATATGTTTTCAGCGTTCAGTCTGTCAATGATTTTCATCTGCTCCTGGAAGCGCTTCACAGTCACCTCAATATCAGACACTCGCTGACTACAGAACTCCACCGACTCGACCAAATTCTCATATCTAGAGCTCATCTCACGCATATCCGTTCGCATCTCTCTGACCATATCAAAAATTGTTTCAAGAGAGACAGGCGGAGCATGTTCGGCCGCAATGCTCCCGGGAATAGATGTGCTGATGAAAGAACGGGAAGTACGTCGTGCGGGCGGCGGAGGAGATCTACAGACGGAACATCTCCACGACGCTCCGGCGACTGACAGTGCCACGGCAGAATCTTTAGCGATGTCACACATGCTTAACTTTATCGATTTCAAAACCCTCCAAAAAATCTATTCTTACACCCTTATCGCATTTGTGAAGGAGTTTCACATTTTCAAAGTTAATGTTATTGTCGGTCTCACTCATATGCTTAAATATATTGGAAGTATTCCTGGTTTTGTGTTCATATATTCTTATATATGTATTCTATATGTAGCTTCCTACCGGTCTGACCTATGTAAACAGCGGCACAATCACAACATCCGATAGAATAAACACCACTACAGTCTAAAATGTCTTCTTTCTGTTTATGATTGGCCAATATATCGCTGATCTGTCCATTACACTTGAAACCAACATAGACACCGTATGATTGTAGAATAGACTTAATCTTGCAGTTGATCTTATTGTATGTCAGTGATCTAAAATTGTCAAATCTGTCTTTATAATAATTATAAAGGGGATCTTGCTTAATGATGTTTTTGAACAGTAGTTTATCGATAGTGTTGAGAGGATAACCATTATTTTTTGCTAAAGTACTAATAAACTTTATTTCTCTGAATTTAGCGGATCTATCTAAAGGGTTTCTCAACAATCTAGTAATATGTGATTGGTAAGCGGCTAATTTATGGCTGTGTGGATGGAAGGAATCGTATGGAATTATAGTATTTAGGGAAGAAGGTTTTCTGAAAATGTCATAGGCAAAACAGTGGTCACCTTTAAGTATTGTCAAATCTAAATAGTTTAATTTATTTTCATCTTCAACTTCTAAGGTAAAATTAAGATTCGTATGAATGTTGTTCATATAATCAAGAAATTATCAAGATCAGATCTATTGTCGTTCCAAACACAAAAAACGTCATCCACATATCTGATCCATTTTACTATATATTTGGAATAAGGGTTCAAGCGATTAATAATAAAGTTCTTCTCAATGCGATCTAAATACAATTCAACCAAACTGCCGGATATTGATAAACCCATAGGTAAATCGTGTTCAAGTTTATAAATTTTGTCACTAAATCTACAATAGTTCTGTTGAATAATATGATGAAGTATATTAATTAGGTGTGATGTTGTGATTTTATCTTTAAAATGAGTATAAAAAATATCTTCCACAATGTCTAAGGTGTAATTGGTGTCAACGTTAGTATAGAGATCAACAACATCAAACGATAATATGATACTATTATTGGGGTTAGTATGTTTTAATTTTTCGATTAGTTGTATTGAGTTTTTTTATAGTATACTATTTAGGTTGAAAATCAATTTGTTTAAAAATATTGTAGATGAACGAACTAATTTTAGAAGTGGGTGAATTGTAACATGCAGTTATAGGTCTTATGGGTAGTTTGTCTTTATGAAGTTTAATGAGTGAATATAATTGAGGTATGTAGGAGTTCATAGGAGTAAGAAAATATATATTTTGGCTTAGTTTATTCAAGGTATCCTTGTGTTTTTTAATAATGTCTTTTTTAACTTCCTTATAACCGTTATCATTTAGAAAGGAGATCGTTTTATTGTAATATTCATCTCTATCAACGATGACAGTATCGGCATTTTTGTCGGCTTTTATGTATAATGCATTATTATCTGATAACTTCTGTTTTATTGATTTTATAGTATTATGTAATTTATAATGTATATTATGATAAGGGCCTTTCTGATTATTATGAATTGATTTTTCATGTTTCTTTAAAATAGGAATAATGTCATTTTTAATGTTGTTGCGATTGGGTAGCTTATTAATTGCACAATCTATCTCTATTGCAGTCAAATGAACGTTAGGTTGAGATTGAATAGCAAATTTATGACCCTTGTTAAGTAATTCGATTTCATTTTTACTGAATTTTATATTGGTGAGATTAGTGGTGTAATCAAGCTGACTACTGTTCAAAAACATCATTAAGCAAGATCCTCTTTATAATTATGATAAAGACAGATTTGACAGTTTTAGATCACTAACATACAATAAGATCAACTGCAAGATTAAGGGCCGGTTGTACAATATACCGATAAATTTTTCTGATAACTATCCGGCCGATAAACTTATCGGGAGGATAAAGATATTCGCTGTTGTACAAACTGTTTTTGTCGGGAGGATTGACGTCGGCTAAATAAGACTCTGTTGGTAGTACTTTTTTCCTAGATCTAGTAATTTGATCCGTATACTCGTGATCTTTTTAAATGAAAATTAAAGAAGGATGGCTAGCTCGAAGTCGGGGAAGGTCGGGTTGGTTTACTTTGAAACCCTGCGCGAGGCTAAGGCAGAGGCTACATTGGCGCCTGTTCNATTTTTATTTGTTTTCCAAAAATCATTTTTTAATAAGACATAATACATTAAATAATTTATTATGCTATTTTCGATAATTTAATCGAATATTAAGCTGGTTTCTATTACAATAAACCTATTTAAAAATCCCGTAGTGACAAATTCTAAATTACTCCTTCTCTACCTGCTTTGGCCGTCGTGATTACTCCGGCCCCGTAGCCTTGCGCAGGGTTTCAAAGTAAACCAACCCGACCTTCCCCGACTTCGAGCTAGCCATCATACTTTAATTTTCATTTAAAAAGATCACGAGTGTACATTGGTAACGCTAACGTCTTTCTTTGAAATTTGAACTGATTTTGACAATAATAACAATTGTGTAAATTGTGCAATTAGCGTTTTGAAAAATATCGAAAAATGTTTAATTTGTACGATACTAGTACCAGCAGTGAGTCCGAAAACGAATTTTTAGTTAATGTGTTTTTAAATAAAACAAAAGAAAAAGAAATTAAAGAACGACCTAACCACATGGCGTAGTGGGATGAAACGGATTTTTTTAAACGGTTTCGGTTAACAAAAAAAAGTGTTATGTACCTATTAGGTCGAATTGTGGATAGGTTGGAAACTCCCACAGACAGGTAAGGAGGAATTGGTAGAAAATCTATAACTGAATTCAATACCAAAGTTTATAAGTACTATATTTTTTGTGTATTATAGAAATGCAGCTGTAACCCCGTTAAATCAGTTTCGTTTTTTTGCTACCGGGAGTGTGTTCATTGTTGTCGGAGATTTTTGTGGTATACACAAGTCAACCGCAAGTAGAATTATAAGGAAGGTTTCTGAAGCAATTTCCAGTCTCAAAAATCACCAGGAAATAGATAGAATATGTGAGGAATGTTATGCAATTGCAAGATTTCCTAAGGTTATAGGAACAATTGATTGCACTCATATCAAGATTCAGTCACCTGGTATGAATTATTGCTATTTGCTTTTAATGAGTCAGTAAGTACTATGTATTTTTAGGTGGTGATCATGCGGAAAATTTTAGAAATAGGAAAGGATATTATTCGTTTAATGTGCAAACAATTTGCGATGCCAATCTATGTATAAGAGACATAGTGGCTCGATGGCCTGGTTCAAGCCACGATCAAACCATTTTCAATTCTTCTGTCATAAAAGCCAGGTTTGAGCGAGGCGACTTCCAAAATAAAGTATTATTGGGCTACAGATTAGCACGTTACTTAATTACGCCGTTGCCAAACCCTACGTTACCACAAGAAAATTTATTTCAAGAGGCTTTGCTTCGCACAAGAAATTCTGTTGAACGTAGCTACGCTGTATGGAAACGACGATTTCCCATATTATCGTTAGGAGTGAAATTAAATTATGGAAGGGTACAAGCGATAAATGTTGCTTGTGCCGTATTACATAACTTCGCTATATTAAATGGCGAAGATGAGCCGCCATTAGATCCACAAATACGTAATAACATTTTAGAAGGCATTCAAGAAGGAAACGTTCCAGATTGATACGCTTATGGTGGCAATCCAGACAATAATAATTACACAGCGCGTTCTGAGTTTGTTCAATACTTTTCACGATTGTTATGAATGAATGAATTAAAACCTGTGGTATTAGAGAATCATATTATTATTATTATTTCAACGAATTTTGAACGATAAAGGTGAAATAATTTACTTTAAACATTCAAAATATTTTCTATATCTAGTAAAGTTTTTTTAATAGTCAAGTTATTTATTTCTATTAGTTGTTTGTTAATTTGACATTGTTGTTCATGCAGTTCTTTTTCGTGTTGTTGCTTGACATTGAATTCTTCTTGTAATAATTTCAGTTTTAAATTTGTTGGACCAGCTTTAGCGTCTAGCCAAGGCTGAATTTTTGCCCAGCAGCAGCAAGATTCATCTTTTTACTAGGTCTTTTTCCTTTTCTGGTTTGCAAAGCCGGATGTTTGGCCTTTTTTAATTGGGCAGGAGAGTAATGACTCCAATTATTACTTCCTTCCACAATGTCATCTGCATCTATAACTAGAAATAATTATTATTTAATTATTATTATTATTTAACAATATCTACATATGCAAAAACATTAAAAATTACCTTGCGTATTGGGGTATGGATAAATTGATGGGTTTTTGGTTTCAATTTGTTCTGTATCTAAAAGAAATCATCATAGCGTTATGTAAGTTCTACAGTAATATTTCAAATAAAAATACCTATTATAACGGATGTGCTAGGGCTTATAAAAGCTTCATCACGCTTTTAACGTTTGTCTATGGAACTTGTGCTCTGCAGTTCATCTTGGACATCTGATATAAAAGAATTAACAGTTAAGATTAAACATGCATTTCTCATAAACAGAGTTAAACACATATATTATAAAATTGGTAAATAATTAACCTAAACAATCACTATCAAATTGTGATGGTGTTCCATCGCAGCTTAGTTTTATCAAATTTCTAATTCCTTGATGTAACGGGTTTAACTTTTCTTCACATGGTCCTCCACCAGTACCCATCACATCAGTGCGGTATTTCGCAACGGCTTGACGAGCCTCTTTTTTTAATGTTTCGTATTTACTGCGAAGCTGTTCCCAGGTATGGTTTGTCGTGCCGGTTGAATTAAAAGTTTGACAAATCTTTTGCCACGCCGCTTTCTAAAATACAAGATATGTGATAAATAACTACCAAGTGATAATATATTGGTTAATAAAGCTTACATACCTTCTCTTTCCAAGTAACCGCATCTGTTTTTTTATTTTCTATAATATTAGCTAGATTTTCTACTATTTCAATTAATCGCCAACACTCCTCTTGTGTATAATTAGTAGCACGTTTATTTTTTTTCCCTTCCATAATAACAAACTAACCAAACTTTTTCACGACAGACAAGGTTTGTCAATGTTGTTATATAAAAACCTTGGTAATCATACATATCTGGCGGATAACCGTCTTATCGGCACCTCTGAGTACCCGATAAGTTATCCTGTCGATAATCTCCCCGACAAAAATATCCGTACATTGTAATACAGTACAAACTAACTTATCGGCCAGATAACGCTATCGGGAAGTTTATCGGCATATTGTACAACCGGCCCTAAGTCTATTCTACAATCATACGGTGTTTATGTTGGTTTCAAGTCTAATGGACAGATAAGCGATATATTGGCCAATCATAAACAGAAAGAAGACATTTTAGACTGTAGTGGTGTTTATTCTATCGGATGTTGTGATTGTGCCGCTGTTTACATAGGTCAGACCGGTAGGAAGCTACATAAAAGAATATATGAACACAAAACCAGGAATACTTCCAATATATTTAAGCATATGAGTGAGACCGAACATAACATTAACTTTGAAAATGTGAAACTCCTTCACAAATGCGATAAGGGTGTAAGAATGGATTTTTTGGAGGGTTTTGAATTCGATAAAGTTAAGCATAAAAAAGATTTTCGCTTGCTAAATAATCAAATAGACACTTTTTTTTAAAAGCCTTTGTACGCCTTCTTGAAACATTAGATTTTCGTAATTTTAAGTTCCGACTCTTTTTCGTTTTAATTATAATTCATATTTATAACCTGTTTGCGATAAAATAAAGTTTTTCCGCTCGAAATCGAGAACTAGTTGTCAGTTGTATCGAGTATGCTTTCATGAATGTTCTTCTTAATTTATAAAAAGTTTTAATTTGTTTATTTTATTGTAGAGTTTTACAGTTTTACTTTCATTTTACTTCTGATTTTGTATGTCCCTACGCTGTGACCCTTTTTTACGACTGTAATTAAATATTTTCAGATATTTTAAAAAAATACATATATTTCATTTTATTGTTCTTCTTCTGTGATCTGATGCTTTGTAGATTTGGCTGATGATGATATGTGAACATGTTGAAACCGGTACCATGTAGATAAAATATAATAAATATATTATTTAGAGAAGAAGAGGCCTTTTTAGTCTTTATTATTAAATTATACCTCTAAATCATGGATTTTTTAAGATGTTGATGAATTTCTTGCACTGTGTGGTTTACTTATTCATGCGAGAGAATTGTTTTGTGATGAATTTGCCAATCCTGTATACCGAGCCACAATGTCCATATTTCGCTTTGAAGAAATACGAGGATTCGTCAGATTTGACGACAAGAGAACCCGGAAAGCGCGTTTGGAAACCGATAAGTTAGCAATGGTGTCCTACATTTGGGATTTATTAATTCCGCAATGCAAAACCTGCTTCATACCTGATACTAATGTAACTATTGATGAACAACTCGTTGGGTTTAGAGGTAGATGCACATTCGTTCAATATATGCCAAGTAAACCGGCAAAATATGGACTTAAAATATTTTGGATGTGTGAATCTACGTCTGGTTATGCTTTGGATGGTTTAGTTTATGTTGGTCGCCAGCCCGGAGAACCCCCACATAAGAACCTGGGGCTTGAAGTAGTACAAACTCTTGTGCGTGGCATTCATAATTCTGGTCGCAATCTCACGATAGACAATTTCTTCACTAATGTCCCGCTAGCAATTTATCTGTCACTACTACTTATCACTACGTCAGAATAAGCGTGACATTCCGAAAGAAATGAAAGCCTCAAAAGATCGCGTAGTCTACTCTTCATTGTTTTGTTTTCAAAATAACGTATCCATGGTATGTTACGCAAGTAAAAAGAACAAATGCGTAATTTTAATAAGCACCATGCACCACGACTCATCTATCAATGACGACGCTAAGAGGAAGCCTGAAATCTTCTCTCATTATAATAAAACAAAGGGCAGTGTTGACATCATGGATCAAATGGTGTCGACATACACGTGCAAGAGGCAAAGTAAACGATGGCCCATGACATTTTTCTTCAACATCCTTGATGTTGCAGCACTCAATGCATATATAGTCTTTACGAAGGAACATCCAAACTACAACATATAAGTGACTCACAAACGCAGGATGTTTTTGAAAGATTTAGCGAAGGAACAGTGATACCACATATGCAGAGAAGATCTGCTAACCCTAACCTACGGCGTACTGTCCGGGAGTGTATGAGCAGATTTATTGATATATGTGGTCCGCCAGCCGCTCACACAAGTGCAACAATTAAGAGAAAAAAATGCTCAGTATGTCCTGCAAGTATTGAGCGTAAAAGCACAATGGTTATGTATACTTTGGTTATGTACCATAGGCTATGAATTACTTGTAAAAATAATATCTGTAATAAGCATAGTATTAGAATGTGCACTAAATGCTTCTCTAATCCCTAAACACAATAAACAATAATGTTCACTTTCATATTTAACCTCACGTTTGTAACGTACATATGTATAAATAAATAAAGTTTTACTTCAATAACTTTGTTTCTGTTCTGACTACACGTGATTTTATATAACGGGTCTCAGAAGCCCGGATTATGTAAATCACGATATTTTATTGGTTAAGTATCCTAGGGTTAAAAACCCATCTTCAGAGATAAACTACAAGAAATGAAATATATAATAATAAAATTCTAAACAATTTAAAAATCTTATAAGTTAATATTAAAATTGAAAATATAAAAATGTATGAAAAGTACTTACAGTCAAAATTTAAGAAACCAACATTGTAATCAACCTCAACTTCATAATTATTACTTATTAAAATTAATATTAAAGTCACTATACAGGGTGACATAGAAAAAAGTACATTGCATAGTGCCACACAATAGAGGACACTAAAATAAGAAAAAAAGTTCCTATGAACATGGCTCCGCAAGGCCTACGGTTAAAAGATACGGGGTGTTGAATTTTATTTTTTTTTGGTTTTTTTTTTTAATATCTTTAGCCAGAGACGCAAAAAATGGATAAAATGTGGTATACAGCGGTTTTTTATCATGCTAAATTCAAATATGATTTTAGTTTTGTGATTACTGATGGAGAGCGCTACATACATACAGGGTTCCATCTCTATTGAATCGGTCCTAACTTTTTCTTTTTTGCTATACACTGTATGTCATTTTCGACTGAAAAAATTTGTTATCCATACATCTGAAAGCCGACAATGCACGCTAATTATTCAAAAAGCGCCAAAGTAACCTTTGCAAAAGCATTAGTCAATTGTTATTTATAACAATTGAATAATGTATTATAATGACACTTGTCAAACTAATGTAATAATTGTTTGAGGTATTTTGTGTTCGTGATTAAGTTTTTCATTGGTTTTCTCACTGATTATTCAAAATTGCTTTCGGAAATGGTTCGCTACACTTTTGAAGAATACAGGGACATGATTATGTGTTACGGCGAAGCTAGATTAAATTCTTACGAAGCTCAACGTATCTATCGAGGAAGATATCCTTTAAGACAAGTTCCTAATGTTCGAACATTTATTGATGTGCATAGGCGTTTGGGAGAAGATGGCTGTTTTAGAAAACCAAAATTGAATAGTGGGGTTTCCAAAACTCGTCGCACTGTGCGAAACGAAGAAACTGTTTTACGAATGGTAGAAAATAATCCGAGAACAAGCACCAGAAAAACAAGTTCAGCGGTGCGAAACCTTAACCGTGAATCAGTTAGACAAATTTTCAATGAACAACTTCTTCGCCCATATCATTTCCAAAAAATTCATTCACAAAACCAAACACAAAACATTATTTCATCAATTTTGTTTACTGACGAAGCTGGTTTTAGTCGTGATGGTATTCTGAACCTACATAACATGCACCATTGGAGTGATGAAAATCTTCATCAAACTGTAATTCGAAGTCACCAATATGGGTTTTCTATTAATATGTGGGCAGGTATAATTGACAATTACTTAATTGGCCCATTTCGAATGCCCAATCGATTGACAGGTGCACTGTATCGAAATTTCTTGGAGAATGATTTACACACATTATTAGAGGATGTCCCATTGGCCATTATTGGAAGAATGTATTACATGCATGATGGGGCGCCAGCTCACTTTTCTCGAGTGGCAAGGGAATATTTGGACAGGAGATTTGGAAATACGTGGATTGGTCGAGGGGGGCCTGTACCCTGGCCAGCTCGTAGTCCCGACCTTAATCCCCTCGATTTTTCATTTTGGGGATTTATGAAAAATGAAGTTTATGCTGTAGAAATACATAATGAAGAACAATTATGGATAAGAATTATGGAATCGGCAGATAGATTTCGTAATAACCCAGGAATATTTCAAAGATGCAGATCATTAATCATTAAGAAGAAGAATGGAAAAATGTATTAAAGTACAAGGGCAACAATTTGAACATCTTCTAAAAACTTAATGTTTTGTTTTAATTAATCATATTTTTCATCATACCATTAAAATTTAATTGTTGAAGTATTTATCATTGTTTTTGCAAATAAATAAAAAAAGAATTAAAATTCAACACCCCGTGTCTTTTAACCGTAGGCCTTGCGGACCCATGTTCATAGGAACTTT